CCAATGTCCAGCCTGGCCTTGGGCACTGCCAGGGATCCAGGGAACAGCCACAGCTGCTCTGGCAATTCCAGCCCAGCCCCTCCCCACCCTCCCAGGGAACAATTCCTGCCCAAGATCCCACCCCAATCTCCCCTTTTCCAATCTCAAGCCATTCCCTGGGTCCTGTCACTCCATTCCCTTGTCACAAATCCCTCTGCAGCTTTCTGGAGGCCCAGGGAGCTGTCCCTGGGGTTCAGCTGGCAGCAGTGCCCGTGTCCCAGTGACCCAGTTCTGCAGGGAGCAGGCGCTGCTGTGCTGCCAGCGCTGGGCTGGGCCTGCAGCTCCGGGGGCTGGGGCACAGTCAGCGCTCCCAGGAGCCCCCCAGGCCTGGGGCCGTGTCCCTGGGGCTGTGTCCCCTGCCTGTGTCCCCAGGGCTGTGCCAGCCCCTCCTGTCCCTCCCAGGGCCGCTGGCCTCGCCTGGTGCCACCTCCGAGCCCACAGCCACAAATCAAATCCTGTTTTCTCATTGTAAATGAGTTTGGATGTGACACTTCCCAGAATCCCGGGATCCCTGGGGCTGGAAAAGCCTTCCAAGGCTCCAGCCCGTGCCCCATCCTCCCCTTGTCCCCTCCGGAGCGCTCGGTGTCACCTCCCGCCCGGGATGGCCACTCCAAACCTCCCTGGGCACTTCCATGAGCAGAAACGCTCCTGCCAGCCCAGCCCTGCAGGGTTCAGCACTGCCCTGCCGTGTTGGGATGCAGGAGTTCACATTTAGCCAAAATTGAGCTGTTTGGAGTGAAATCTGCCTCGCTGCCACCCCCAGGGCCCCGTGCCTGCTGCTGCAAGGGCAGGGAGCTCTGGGAGCAGGGAATAGCTTCATTTTCCTGCTTGTAAAGGTCACATCTGCAGGGCTTTACAGTGGCAATGGACGGGGAATAGCAGGCTAAAAATGGGGGTTTTCATTTTCCTCAGTGACATTTTTTGGGGTTTGTTGATGAAAAATCCCAGGCACAGCCAGAGATGAAATCCTGACTGACCCAGGCATGGAAAAGCTGAGATTTATTTATTTTGAACAGTGTCAGGTGCTCAAATGCTAATGAGGCATTTTTATTATTACATTTAAGCACCCCTGAGTAAACCAGACTGATTTTTTTTTCTGTAAGAAATGGGAATTGGTGTGAGGGAGCTGTTTTGAGCTCCACATGCAGGGAATCAACACAAACAGCTGGAATAATCCTCAGGGACGTTAATTCTCAGCTTTAGGAGCCACTCAGAGTCATTCTTTTAACCCCAAATCTGTTTTAGTCCACAAGAAATGCTAAAGATAATTAAATAAAGAGATCTGGCAAGGGATACACCCAATTTATCTGTGGCATTATGGATTTATTAATCCATAACAGAGAGTTGTGTATTAAAATAAAAAAAAAAACCAAAACAAACCACGAATGATTGTTCCTGACATTCCTTACTTTCTTCTTCCCATGGAGCAAAGCCTTTGGAATAAAATGCAAATTAGATTATCAGTGGGGCTGTCAAAAATAGCTCAGGGTTGACAGCTAAATGGGCCTGAGTGAATGTGATTTCAGCTGTGATCCCAGGCTGCAGGAAAGCCTGGAAAAACGGAGCCAGGGGCTGTGGGAACGGCTGGGAATTGTGGAAAACTGCAGGCTGGGATGGGCTTTAAAATGGGATTTTATTAAAAAAATTCAATTGGGAAGTGACTTTTTAACGGTTGTGTCAGTAAAGGGAAAAAAGGGCTGGAGCTGGGCAGAGAAGGAATGCTTGGAATTGCTTGGAATTGCTTGGAATTCCCGGTTTTTGCTGGGCACAGGCATCATTCCTGCTGGGAATGGGGAGCCAGGCTGGGATCTGTGGTTTTGGAGTGTGGGTCCCTGGAGAGGAGCAGGCACTGGGGGGACTGGGGCGCTTTGGGATGGGTTCCTGGTTATGGGCAGGAATGGGATGTGGCCACCCTGGAGCAGGGGATGCTGGACATCCACAGCCTCTTCCCACCTGGGGAGGAAAACGTGGAGAAATCCCGGAATCCTGGAAAGGTTTGGGTTGGAGAACCCGTAAATCCCATCCAGGGACACTTGCACTGCCCCAGGCTGATCCCAGCCCCATCCAGGGGCAGCTCTGGGCATCCCATCCCAGCCAAGAATCCCTTCCCAAAATCCCACCTCACCCTTCCCAGGCACAGAATTCCCTAAATCCCAAACCCCAGTGCTCTCCTGCACAATCCTGGTGGGACTGGGGACCCTCAGCGGGATGGGTGTCCCTTGGGTGTCCCTTGGGTGTCCCTTGGGTGTCTGTGTGTCCCAGGGCTGGGTGGGGTGGCTGTATCCACTCTGAATCCCGGTTTTTTTCCCGCTTTTCCCCGGCAGATCCGGCCCCACATCGCCACCCTGCGCAAATACACCTACGGGAAGCACATCCTGGCCAAGCTGGAGAAATACTACATGAAGAACGGGGTGGACCTGGGGCCCATCTGCGGCCCCCCCAACGGCATCATCTGAGCCCAGCCCGCCTCCAGAGGCACTCCAGGATCCCAGAACCCAGCCCAAGAATCCATCCCAGAATCTATCCCAGGAACCCAGCCCAGGAACCCAGCCCAGGAATCCACCCCTGGAATCCATCCCAGGATCTATCCCAGGAACCCAGCCCAGGATCCATCCCAAAACCCATCCCAAAACCCATCCCAAAATCCATCCCAAGAATCCATCCCAGGAATCCATCCCAGGAATCCATCCCAGAATCCATCCCAAAATCCATCCCAAAATCCATCCCAAAATCCATCCCAGGAATCCATCCCTGGAATCCATCCCTGGAATCCACCCCAGGAATCCATCCCAGAACCCAGCCCAGGAACCCAGCCCAAAATCCATCCCAAAATCCATCCCTGGAATCCACCCCAGGAATCCTTCCCTGGAATCCACCCCAGGAATCCATCCCAAAATCCATCCCAGGATCCATCCCTGGAACCCATCCCAAAATCCATCCCAAAATCCATCCCTGGAATCCTTCCCAGGAATCCACCCCTGGAACCCATCCCAAAATCCATCCCAGGATCCACCCACACCTCCCGCCACGGTTGCTTAAAAAAACCCAACAAAACCACAAACAAACAAAACCCACAAAAAAAAAAAAAAGAGAAAGAAACAACAAACAAAGGAAAGCAGAAAACAAAACAAAAAAAAAACCACAAAAAAAAAAAAAGAAGAGAAGCCTTTGTAAATTTCTTTAATTTTATTATGCATAACATGTACTAATTATTTTTTTTAATTAACTAATTGCCCTGCTGTTTTACTGGTGTATAGAATTCTTGTACATAGGTCTCAGATGTACATGGAAGGCCACATTTTTGTTCACTGTTGTATCTATATTCCAAATGTGGAGACTTTTCAGGGTGGTTGGTTTGAAGACAACAAACAAACAAAACAGGGAATTTAAAAAAAAAAAACAAACAAAACAAAAAACCCATTTTTAATTCTTCATTTTTTGCAAATAACTTCTTTTTTTGGGTTTTTTTTTTTTTTAACCTCCTTTTAGCCCAAAAGTCAGCGAGAATTTGGGATTTTTAGCTCAGTGACACCACTGCTAAGAAATACTGAAAAGAGGAAAATTCAACTTGCTGAAGTCTGGTTTTTAAACAAAGACACCAAAATTCCGGTTTGGGGACTTTTTAATGGTTTTATTTCTATTTTATTTGTGACTCTGACATGCTGGAGGAGGGAGCTTTGCTGGCATTTTCAGAAAACACCCAGAGATGATTTTTAAACAGGAGGATTTTTGGGATTTTTTTTTTTTTTATTCCCACTCCTCTGTTCACCTGGAGAGACACAATTTGATTATTTAGCATGAGGAAAAACAAAACAAAACAACAAAAAAAAAAAATCCAACTCGGCTTTGGTCTTGCTTCTATAAATATATAGTGTATACTTGGTGTAGACTTTACATATATAAAAATTTGTAGTATTTTCTTGTTTTGATGTCTGATCTGTATCTATAATGTACCCTAGTAGTGGAACATACTTCTGACTGTACAATTGTACATTTGTAAACCTCTGTAATGTAAATGTGGAGAAGTTTGAATCGACATAAAACCCGTTTTTTGGTAAGAAAACAGGAAAAAAAAAAGAATTTAGCAAAACCTGTGCATTTCAGTGTATATTCACACCTTTTATGGTCGTAGCATATAGTGTTGTATATTGTAAATTGTAATTTCAACCAGAAGTAAATTTTTTCTTTTGAAGGAAATGTTCTCTTTATACAGCCTAGTTAATGTTTAAAAACAAAAAAACAAAAAACAAAAAAAAAAAGGAAGAAAAATAAACTGCTTGGTTTTATTTGTCACCTAGTTGGACGGTAGAGATCCTTTCTAAATGTTCTCCAGACCCGATTCAGTTCCAAATAGTGTTTTTTTGAATCTTACAAAGTAATGTTTTGCTTCTTTTGTGACAGTAAGAAACAAAAAAGTGCAAAAGTACAGCCCCCCTCCCGGTTTTCCTTACAATCAGAGCCCCCTTTTCACCTTGTAAAGTGTGAATCACCTCCCCCCCGCCCCTTTTTTTGTACAGAAGATGAACTGTATTTTGCATTTTGTCTACTTGTAAGTGAATGTAACATACTGTCAATTTTCCTCGTTTGAATATAGAATTGTAACACTACACGGTGTACATTTACAGAGCCTTGTGTATATTTCCAATGAACTTTTTTGCAAGCACACTTGTAACCATATGTGTATAATTAACAAACCTGTGTATGCTTCTGCCTGGGCGACTATTTTTTGTAACTCTTGTGTAGATTGTCTCTAAACAACGTGTGATCTTTATTTTGAAAAATACAGAACTTTGGAATCTGCCTCTGCCTCCGGTGGAATCGTTTGTTTGCTTTGGACTTTGGAATCTGCCTCTGCCTCCGGTGGAATCGTTTGTTTGCTTTGGGAGCGATCTTCTCCCATCCCTCTCCATCTTTTCCTTTGGATCTTCTCCCATCCCTCTCCATCTTTTCCTTCTCCTCTTGATCTTCTCCCATCCCTCTCCATCTTTGCCTTCTCCTCTTGATCTTCTGCCATCCCTCTCCATCTTTTCCTTCTCCTTTGGATCTTTTCCTTCTCCCTTGGATCTTTTCCCATCCCTCTCGATCTTTTCCTTCTCCTCTTGATCTTTTCCTGCTCCTTTTCATCTTTTCCCACTTTTCTCCATCTTTTCCTTCTCCTTTTGATCTTTTCTGTCTCCTCTCGATCTTTTCCCACTTTTCTCGATCTTTTCCTTCTCCTCTCAATCTTTTCCTTCTCCTCTTGATCTTTTCCTTCTCCTTTGGATCTTTTCCTTCTCCTTTGGATCTTCTCCCATCCCTCTCCATCTTTTCCTTCTCCTGTTGATCTTTTCCTTCTCCTCTCAATCTTTTCCTGCTCCTCACGATCTTTTCCCACTTTTCTCGATCTTTTCTTGCTCCTTTTGATCTTTTCCTGCTCCTCTCGATCTTTTCCTTCTCCTCTTGATCTTTTCCTGCTCCTTTTGATCTTTTCACACTTTTCTCGATCTTTTCCTGCTCCTCTCGATCTTTTCCCATCCCTCTCCATCTTTTCCTTCTCCTTTTGATCTTTTCCCATCCCTCTCGATCTTTTCCTGCTCCTTTGGGTCTTTTCCTTCTCCTCTCGACCTTTCAATCTTTTCCTTCTCCTTTGGATCTTCTCCTTTGGATCTTTTCCCATCCCTCTCCATCTTTTCCTTCTCCTTTTGATCTTTTCCTGCTCCTTTTGATCTTTTCCTGCTCTTCTCAATCTTTTCCCACTTTTCTCGATCTTTTCCTTCTCCTTTGGATCTTTTCCTTCTCCTCTCGATCTTTTCCTTCTCCTCTCAATCTTTTCCTTCTCCTCTCGACCTTTTCCCGCTCCTGTGGTTGTTGAACTCTGCACATTTGGGGTTCACTCCTGGTGCCCGGGGTTTGGAGCGCTCGTCTTTGGGGCTTTGGGTGATTTTTGGGTGTCTCGGGGCTCTTTGGTGCCGGTGCAGCTCGGCCAGCTGCGGCTTTGGGGACAAACACGGTGAAAACAACAGGTGGAAATCGGGGTTTTAATCTTGAATTCAGCACTGAGACTTCAGTTCGGGCTGGGGAGGAAGGGGAGCGTGTCCAGGCTGTGTCCGTGGGTCTGTCCCCAGGCCCTGTGTCCGTGTGTCTGTCCCCAGGCCCTGTGTGTGTGTGTGTGTGTCTGTCCCCAGGCTGTGTTTGTGTGTCCCCAGGCCCTGTGTCCGTGTGTCTGTCCCCAGGCTGTGTCTGTGTGTCTGTGTGTCCCCAGGCTGTATCTGGGTCTGTCCCCAGGCTCTGGCTGTGTCCTCAGGCTGTATCTGTGTGTCCCCAGGCTCTGGGTGTGTCCCCAGGGTTCTGTGTGTGTGTGTGTCTGTCCCCAGGCTGTATCTGGGTCTGTCCCCAGGCTCTGGGTCTGTCCCCAGGGCTCTGGGTCTGTCCCCAGGCTGTGTCTGTGTGTCTGTGTGTCCCCAGGCTGTATCTGGGTCTGTCCCCAGGGCTCTGGCTGTGTCCTCAGGCTGTAT